GTCTCCCCCCCCGGTGAGGGGCGGCGGGGGGGGGGGGGGGGGGGGAGGAGGTTTAGAAGAGCTTGCCCAGGCTAGAATTGGTTCGGAAAGGATCCCATTGTCACTACCAGCAGCAGCAACGGGGGGAGTAGTGCAGAAAGGGCACTGGGGTTCACCAGCATTTGCACGCTGACGGACACCCAGGCACACACTCCTCTCTTCCCTGCTCCTCTCTCCTGGTCTCTGCTAACCTGCCACGTGGCCCGGTCACTCCAGCCCATCCCCCCCTCGCGCACACAGCTCTCTCGTCACAACCTGCTGCACCAATTTACTCCACATGCTCTTCCGGCCTCCCCCACCCCTTAGTTTAAGTTCACTGAACACACTGTCTGGAGTGCTTTCAGTTCCATCTCAGGCCCTCCCCAGTGTGGCTTCCTCTCCTGGCTAGCATGCCCCTGGAAGAAGATGCCCTCTGATGGCTTCCATCAAGGCGCAGAATACACCGCGACCAGCGCTGCCGCTGGCGTAGCAGGATGGGCTAGTGAATCGCCCAGAGCAGGAGGAGGTAGGACCTTCAAGTTCTAGCCACAGCTCTGACAGCGATGCCTTTGGACAAGTCATTGAAGTGCTCCGTGCCTCAGTTTCTCCATTTGTCAAAGAGGAGCCAGTTCCTTGAGACGCGTGAGGATAAGTGTTTATAAAGGGCACTGTAGGAGCGGCCGTATTTCCTGAAAGGCCTTGAGTTACGCTACAAAGCAGAACAGGGAGCTAGCACAGCAAGTCTGAGCAGAGAGCACGCCAGAAACAATAGAAACTGGCTTTGGGACACACCTCGGAGGATTTCAGTAGATGGAGAGCACGGAAGGCAGGGACAGGCAGGTCACTAGCAGAGCCATTTGTGTCTGCTTCACTTCAGTAGGACCTCAGAAACCACATCCTTCTAAGCACGCTGTCGACTCACTTCAATGCTGGGAGCTACAAGCCAGCACGCTCACAATTAGGGACGTAAAAAAAAATTTCTTAATTGGTTCAGCTTCACATTTCACTGGTTAACCAATTAAAAGGGGATTCCCCCCGTCCCCAATGGCCAGGCAGCCTCTACCTGCTCCGGCCCCCACTGGTTAACCTTTCACATCCCTACTCAGCATGCCTTGACCAAAAATGATTGCACAGGGGTAACTCAAATTCTTCAACCCCAGGTAGTGAGGTTTGGTGCTTGTCCCCCAGCTCAGCATTGAGGAGACCTGGAAAGAAACCCAGTGCCCTTGTACACGAGATGATGTGGGGGTGGGATGGGGAACAACAGGCTGGGTGGAAGCCGCACGCTCCTCGGAAAGGAAGTGCTGTTTAA